CAGCTAGGCTGACGAAAATGTGCGCAGAGCGGCAGCGCTTGAAAGGTACTGCAGGCTTTAGTGTGATAGCATGCAGTCATAAAATAGAGCATTACCACTTGCTAAAGTCCCTGCATCTATTTTTCTATCTTTTCCTTTTTCGCTCTGCATTACCTCCTTTCTGCAGCATACTTTGTATAACAAATGGGCAAATTTTACAATGACTACGTAATTCTATTTATGCAGTCATGCTACCACAGTCTTCACCTTTTTGTACTACATTAAGTATTGAAGATTAAATTTATGGTTAGTTTGGCTATGTTTATTTGCATAAGTATTGCGACTCTGAATTGTGAGTCAGCACTGTAGTTTTTTTTTCTGCTGCATTGGCTAAGTACACCTGTAAATATAAGCCTTACAGGGCTGACAAAAAGAGGGTTAATCAGAAATTGACAGCGATTACATGTGTGAACAAGTGAACGCTGCATATAAAAACTTCGAGGGTAGGCACATCACTGCGACATTTCTCCTATGATGGCCGCAGAATAATCTGACCAGGAGTTTTCAGTGAAATAGGAGGTTGCATGTAAAAAACTAATATCGACATATTGAAATGAAAAACGCTGACGTTACAGTGTTACTGAAATGCTAGGACAATTGAGTGTACCGATATTTCCTAAATGGTACCGAATGCGTAAAAACCGAGGCTAACGTACTTGAGGAATATATTTAACCTTTTGTGTGTGTGTGTGTGTGTGTGTGTGTGTGTGTGTGTGTGTGTGTGACCGCAGTTCTTTTTGCACACTTTTACAGATAATGAAAGGAACAGCCACTGTATGGTGTTTTGTAAGAGTGCGCCAAAGACGGACGCCCGTGTGTCTAAGCTTGCGACTCTTTTTGACGCTTATTTCAGGTTCTATGCGCCGTGATCTGGTCTATAGGTACCTTTTGCTTAACTTCTTGCACTCATTCACTAGATTAACAAGTATACACGTTTACCCATCTTGGGACCCTCAAATATTTTTTCTCTGTTTCATTAGTCAAATAATGTCAGCATTTTACAGGCAATTACAGAGAGTGAGACCGTAGGTACACAGGGGAGCACATTGTACATTCAGTCAAACTAGACATTTATAGTACCATCAAAAACAACAAGGTACGGTAAGTGTCGTAATCAGAAAGAAAATGATTAGATCTTACACTAAATAATATTAGACACGATTATTAAAGCAACAAACAATGCGTAAGCATCGTAGTCATGTTATAAAAAAATAAAGATGATGTCATAGCCAATTACACTCATGATTCGCAAAATCTCAGTTATGGCACTACATGACAATTGTAGACTTTTTCGCGATAGCGAAATCGGAGAAACAGACTGTGTGTCACAAAGAAATGAATGTCTGCAAAACGAGTTATCAAAGTATCAAAATATAATGCTTTAGGGCTGTTAGGACGGCCCCAATGGGTTCGACCAGGACATTGTGTCGCTTTTTCTCTATAGGAGACAGAAACTCGGAAGCCCGACAACAAGCCGAAGAACACTGTTTTTTTGACGTCTCAAGGAGGACATCAATCAAGAAGCTGCAATACACAAAACTTTGTAGTTTGTGAAAACAAGTTAAACTTTTATTGACTTGATTTCTTAACATGTCATCGCTTCTTGTTAACATTATATCAATAATGCTCTCGACCCAGATTTCTCCCAGAATGTAGGGTACTTAGTGCCGATGTATGTAGCAAATATACAACTACATTTAAAAATGTTTCACCTATGATCCTGTAGTCCAGTCAAATTCCTATGGAGACTACAAATAGTACTGTATTGAGATTTAATCTATGAGCGTCTTTTCCAGGGTTGCAACAAAAGCATAACATCTGATTCAAGGCCTTCAGCTTATCCTACTTTAAATGAAAACACACATGTCAAAAGCCGTGAGAAAAGCCTCGTATTGCTTGGCTATGCATTGAAAATGTTTTAACACCGCTGCCTTCAAACAGAAATATTGGTTTCAACTAAGAGGGTGCGGTTTCGCAGTGACGTCTCAACATAGGTAGCGCGCTACGGAAGATTGACGATCGCTGCATACTAGCAATAGCTGTCGGTTGGCTGTAAGTCATGCGTGGTAGACGTCAACGATGACAAGAGAATGGTTGTGCAGAGAGTTTGACAATAATTTTTGTGATTTACGCTGCATGCAAGACCCAGCTAGTTTCGGATACCCAGTGAAATGTGTTCAATTGTCGTGGCGATATTCAAAGTGGTAGAGGTGGATTGCAGGTATTGTACGACGAAAACATTCAAGTAAAGGAAAGTATTTTTTTGCAGGCGCTGTCTCACTCCAGTGTTGCGGGAGAGCGATGATAGTGAACAAAGAGGAAAAGTGTCTTTGTTTAGTTCCCTCAAATTGTTCAATACTCTTTTCTTACACGTCCTTTGGGTGCCTCAAAGGCAATTGATTTTTCGTAGATAAATGCAGCAAACATTCCACAGAAAATACTTCTAGTTCTAAAAAGTAATTGCACACCAGTACACCTTATCAAAGCATATATACGTTTAGCAAGCAGTAGTATCGCAGTTTCTTAACCCTATAATCGCATTCAAGTTTATTCACACAATGGCTGTCATATGCGATAACTTGGTTAAACGCCGCTGCAAAGTTTGGCAAGCACCAATCATATTCTGATTCTATGGTATTGCTGTCAATTTCAATCGGACAAGATGAGGGCTAGAGCAATGAATACAGTACTCACGAACTAACCAATGCAAAATAATGAAGTGCCATACTGCAGTGCCCAATTTAAGCCACATCGTACTACAAATTATTCATCACAGGCAATTTAAATAAAGTTATTTGGTGAACTTCATGACGACAATCCGCACATAGTACAATAATGAGCGAAGTTTTCGAAATGACTTTGGTGGGTTGAAAAAGCCGACCATTTCCATTTTACGAGAATCAAGAATGACGCGGTTCTTCTCGGCGAAGCATTCTAAAACCAGCGCTTGACTTTCACCCAACAAATGTTTCTGTTTACAAGCAGTCAAACGCAGCAAAGAATAAGGCAGAAACAGTTATGTTCATGAAACGTGCGTATAAGTATTGAGCTATGAATTTAACAAAATAATATTGCTGCTTTTTAGATAACATTTTACTAGGTTCATAAATATTTCACTTGTGGCAGGAGCATCGCAAAGGTCCAAGAGCATAGAACGAAATTCTAAGAGACTATATATGGTCACTAAAGCAGTTTTTAATATTACACACTTTTATGCAGCGGTTCATCACGGCTCCACCCACGCATTTTCGTCACGTATGTTACGTTGTAAAATAAAATAAAGAGATTGTAAAAAAACACACAAAAAAGTTATGTCGATGGGCGCCACACTTACCAAATCACTAAGCCACTGAGCCTACGTTTTCAGCTTCCTAACAGCAAGCTTATTACCACAATAATTGTCTGTTTTCCGCGGACTTGGTTAGATATTGCCGGATCGATTTCGCTGGATCGAAAGTCGCCGGATTGATTTTCGGCTTCGGTAGATGCATTTTACACGGAGGCGAAAATGTTTCAGGTCCGTGTACCGTGGTTTAGGCGCACGTTATAGAACCACATGTGGTCGAAAGTTCCGGAGCACTGCATTATGGCGTCTCTCATAATCATATCGTGGTTTAGGATCGTTGAACTCTAGATATAATATTATTAACAATAATAATAATATTATTATCAATCTTATTATAGCTGGATGTTCATAAAGTACCAATCATCTGTGGAACGTACCCGCCATGGTATACGCACATATGCCACACGTATCTGGCGGAAAGAGTTGGACGATGTACTTGACGGGACTGTCACATTATTCATGTCATGACCACTGAGCCATATGCGTCAACTCACCTTAAGATCCTGTATTATTTTGCTATTCCTCAAGTTAAGTGGTATCACGAGAGCACCCAGACGCAGACGTCTAACAGACAGACAGAGGTTGACATAGATAGAGATAGATAGATTTATAGATAGATTTATAGATAGATATATAGATAGATAGATAGATAGATAGATAGATAGATAGATAAGATAGATAGATAGATAGATAGATAGATAGATAGATAGATAGATAGATAGATAGATAGATAGATAGATAGATAGATAGATAGATAGATAGATAGATAGTAATGGATCAATGAATGGATGGACAGGCCACACTGTTCCTATTCTACGGTTTAAGCCACACTGGTTTTCTGTGGTGCTTGGTTGCTTTGTTCGGTGAAATTATTCTTCTAGCCATCGAAGCAACGAAGTGGAGGTGAGAAATTTCAATCTATATGTTGTGTATCGCTTTTTTACACGCTTGAATAAACAATTTTATCATTTGTGTCTATTAAATGTTAGCGTATATAAGCGCACTGTGTATGCTCGGGATATAAATATTGAATACCACCGGACGCACCCACTTACGCGTCTTTATTGCCGAACCGCTAGTATTTCTGTAAATAGGTGGAGAGGAGTTAAATATCAGTACCGAATGCTTAGAGAGCTCGAAGCTGTCTGATCAGATTTCTCGCAAACTATTCTACACTATTTTTGTTGCAGTTTTTTAAACAGTGTCAATTCTTAAAGAAGCGGGGAAATAATTTTTACTACTTAAAAAAACGGAAATGATGTGGCTCGCTCCGTGAAGCAGTCATTAACAAGTACAGGTTCACGTCGTTACAGAGTGCGTCGGCATATCTTTAAACTCTCGTTGAACTGGTCTAGGACAATATGTATCGCTTCTAATACATTAGGATGACCGTTGTGCACTTTTTGATTTTTTTCAATATACGCGATTGATGTCGAGGTATGACCGCACGTGAAGTTTTTTTGTGAAGTGTAAAAAGTCAGTGACATCTATAATTCATCCCGGAATGCCACGAGAGTGGACCAATTGCAATGAAGCAGGAAGCAGCTCTCATACAGCCCCAGTATAAATGTCATTATAAGCCTTTTGCTCTTCTAAAGAGAAGCAATATATACACCGTGAGAAGATTCCTCTGTCATAGCGTTAGTGAAACTCTTGTATCTCGTTTGCTAAGACCTATCAATGGAATCGCTTACGTTAGTGAGCACTCTACAACTCCTATTGGCTATCAGAAGCTTGCAAGCAGCTCACTGTGAGTGTAGTTTTTTTGTAACCTTTTACAGATGAATATGATACAAAACCTACACAAACAGAACAGTTTTGATGTGGCTTGAAAAAAATGGCAAAAATGTATATTTATTGATGCAACACAATACTTTGAGTGTTATATTGCTGCAAACTATGTAACATATGATGAAACAGAAGTGTTTTAGTAGTAGAAACCGTCACACCTGAAAGCATGCTCGACAAATACAAGGTGTATCTAGCGGCGTGGACAGCGATCACAAGTTCTTTCTCTCTTAAGCTCCTATACACAACATGTATAACAAGCATACGTGGGCAATAAGGAAGCTATTATCATCAGCAGCTGTGTGATTTTTCTTGAATTGAAATAATGATGATGTTATGCGCCAGCCGTCATTACATAATTTTACATAGTAAAGATTCATTGGTTGAATTGATCCCTCGCTTGTTGACTCTATCTGCCAGGGCATGGATACCAGATTGGCTTTCAACGTGGAATAGTTGGCGTTATGACTATTAATTTCTTCACAAGGAATATTTTGTCTTGTTATAAAAATGAGTATGACAGCCCTTCAAAACATTCAAGGGGCTCGAGGTGATTGTGTATCATTGTACTAAGTAGCTTACGCAGCATCTTGTTAACGCAATATTTCTTTAGGAAGCAGAGACAGAAGGCGAAATTTGCACTACTTCTAACTGAGAACGCCCTTCGAGGACAAAAGTAGAAAGTAGAAGTAAGGTATAAGATCTGCACCTAATTATTACATATATTTTTGTGGCCCCAAGAAGTTCGTGATAAATAAAACTCAACATAACGTACTGTCTCTGTTCTCTCCTTGCTTTCTTGACCACTTTTTCTTCCTCATTAAAGCCTAAAGTTTGTGTGCCACTTATGCACAACGATATTATGAACGGTGTAGTCAATTATATACAAGACATCAACCTCTTTTTATCACCAACAGTGCCCAAATACCAAGCTATTGCGTATCCCCAAGTGTTCGATGCACGTGACGAAAAGACGAAGGTTCTCAAAATAAACGAAGATATAACTCTTAACCTGGAGCCCAGCTCAATACTACACGAAAACTTTTTTGTTCGCTCATATAAAAATGGAATTCCAGAGCATCAATACGTGAGTACTAAAAATTGCGAATCTTTTTGCACAATAAGCCTGAAAGCAAAATAGTACGTCGATACGCTTTAAATATAGAAGCAAATTTTTCGCCGAGTTTGAATCAGTGCATTAAAGTATAATCTTTTGTTAGGTAATTTTTAGGTGTTTAAAAGATGAATCCTGGTTCGCCGTGCAGAAAAAAAAGCCTGCCGCATGAACTGTTATATTTTATGGATTGAAGCATCCGCGCAATATTATTCCGTGTGAAAGATAACGTAGTAAGGTCTTCAGGGCACATCGGGAAAGTCTTTGCAGACATGGAACAAGTTTTCTTACAGAGCTAGTTGGGCAGAAAAAAGATTAAACAATTTGCCAAGCCAAAAGTGGTCCCGTGTACACTTCCTGCACTGTGGTCATAATAGCTTCACTTCTGTAGACCAAGTACACAAATTCATTTCTTAAATACCGGGTAATTTTGTAATGCTCTAATACTATCATTAACTACAATTTTTCTATGAAAATATCACAGCAGTATACTATCCGTATAGGTACTCTTGTGCTAAGAGTGTTTGCTGATACGAGGGACATTGTCAAAATGAACCTGGTGAAAATACAACTACAGCAGGTTTGTAAAGGTCTATAGGCGTAGATTAGTAGTCATCCATTCCCACTGCGTCTTCAACGCAGTCATCTAGTCAATCATCATACGGAAAACACTACTGCAAGACATGGTGTGCATATTCGTGCATATAATATTCGCTTTGAAATAAACAAGATCAGGAAGTATTTGATGAAAGGTGAGTGTCACCGAAATGACGAGTCTTGTCCCTGCATCTCGGTACATCTCGTATATTTGGACCCACATTGCATGTAACATCTTAGTGTTACAGTCAAATGAGCAAGAACAGAAAACTCACGACGAATGAAACGCTCGGTGGTTTTGTGCATCCGTTCCGCTTCTAATCCCTTGACTTATGCACTAGACGTTGATGCACTAGAGTTGATGACCTAGTGAATGTTATGCGCGTAAACTGCTGATTTAATCTGTAATGTATGCAAACTGTGCGATAATAATAGTAGAAGTAGGATACTGCAGGTAATACTATATTCTTAACTATTCGTGAAAAGTCTGTGTCCGGAGCTCCGATAAACTCTGTGGTGTTGTTTTTTGCACTAGGTGCGCGACGGCTCTGCACTGCTACTTACATGGTTAGTTGATTTTAGTAACGCTCTGCTCAAGCCGGATGGCTGTTCGTTTTTGTTTATTGGAAAAGAGGGTGGGGCGAATGCAGTTGTGTTACGTCCAACATTCCAATTGATTGCAAAGTAAAATAGCCTGCATGCGAACGGCCAGAATGTCGCCTGCCTGTAGAAGCAGCCCAAATTTAGGATATACCATATGCTATAAACAACGGAGTACTGGCTTGGTCGGGATATAGAGCATGTTTTCTTGCTCTTGCAACGTGGTGTCCTTTCGCTGCGACAGCCATTATGGTCAATGTCAGAAGCCTTTTTTTCTTGCTATCTTGTCCTGTAAATATGTATGTAAAGCCACAAATAAAAATATTTCAGCAGAAAAAATTATCAAAGTGGCATGGGGGATTCCAGTCTGTGACGTTTCACTCCACAGTTCGCCAGTTTTGACAACTACGCCAGGGCGAAATACCTACTTTAGGGCACCAACGGCAGATTATAAAAACTCGCAGCATTGGCTGAAATCAATGTGACGCCACACACTGAAGAATACAAAATTAGGCGAGATGCGGGTGATGCTGCATCGTTGCTCCCAAATTGTTTGCGTCGTACCACTAAATGCCAAAGCCTGCTTTCTATCTATTTTTGGGTTGTAGGGCCGTGCCACTCGAGTCCAGTCGGCCATGAAAAATATTCCCGCATATCCACAAAGTGAATGATGATGAAGGAGCTTACTCCAAAGGTTGAATCAGGTCTACCATAAATCCTCTGTACATACGCTCAATTATCATCATATAAAAACGTGACCCGAGAGTTGTTGTGGTGTGACTGTGCATACACATTATATACACAATGTTTATTACTCACATATCAACGCCCTATATACAGATATTCAGCATACTGGTGCAATATATACATTTCGTTCAAATTCTCATTTTCAAATCACACAAGCTCGGAGGAACGTTTTTCTTTGAGTATAATGGCTTTGTGATCCGTTAAGCAAAAAGCTTGAATTATAGGTCTTGAATTATAGGATGTAGTGCAAATTTCAAGAAGGGTCCTGACGGCGAGCCCACGCTCCAGCCATATGGCGAGCCCTCCACGCCGCCACCATGGCTTCTGCGTTGTTCATAGTAGATAGTAGTGTATCGATGCGTACTCAGTGATGTCTGGCGAAAGAGAAAGGGAATTCGCCGACAACTAGCGCTATATAGAGGCGCGGCCACCTACTAAACTAGAGCACGCGCTGAGGGTGGCCCCGAGAGAGCACGCGCTGAAGTAGGGAGCCTTCATGTGCACGCCATCTCCGATTTAGGGGCGAAGCTCGTTGCACCATGGGTCGTGCATCCACAGTGTATGTAGTATTAGTAGTAGTCGTGGTAGTAGCTGTAGGTAGCCACCTCTCATTCAGTCCTTGAAATGTCCGCTGGTTGTCTTTACTTTTATATGACGAATATATGTTAAAAGATGAGAAACGGTGGTACTTCGAGTGTTCTCTAAACAGAAGGACGGAACGACGCGTGGATGGATGAACGGAAGGTTGCACTGACACATGGAAGGAAGCATGGACGAACGGAAGCAAAAACGAATAGACGGATGGAAGTGCTGTCGTAGTGCCTGACGCGTCAACCGCACTCATCATTCAGTCAGTGGATATGCTGTGATTTTTTGTTCTCTAAAGTCAGAGAGCGTCTTACAATATTTACTGGAAGAAACTTTGGTGGTGTGAGCTTTCAGCTACCATGATAATATTTTGCCTAAGCTTCGTGGTTTCGGCTTTCCAAATTGTTTCTATAAAGGGCGAAGCCCCTTATACGCCATGGTTCGTATGTCCCATCTCAGTGTAGTCGTCGCAGTAGTCAGTTGCACTGCATTGCATGTCAATAAATACGGTGTTACAGCATATCCACGGAGTGAATGGTCATGTGTGGGGCGAAGCGTTCGTCCTTTGGTCCGTCTGTCCGTGCGTTCATCCATTCGTCTGCTCATCTGCGCATGGACCAACACACAGATAGATCGACGGGCGAATAAACGGACGCACAGACAGATGGATAGAGGCACGGACGGACGGACGGACACCTGGTGCACTCATCATCATTCACTCTTTATATATGCAGTAATTTTTTTAAAAGCATGAGTGCTGGGTGAAAAGCATTTAATCATATATCTTTTTTTCGGGAAACTGCGATAAATATATAGTGGCCGCATATCTTCAAAAAAACAAAAACAGCGCATAGCCACATCTGCCGATAAGGAATGAAGAGGAGTTTCTTTAATATATCGGCTTGCGCAGAAGCGAACAGCAAGATGCTATACTTTCTGTCCATCCGCCGGCTATCCATATCAACGCGTTGCTTTTGTTTCAGAAAATCTAATATGCTTGGCAATCCCGCTAAACTGGCACGCTAGAATTACAATGCCACGCCTCGCTTTTTTGTGGCTCCGTTAACCGGTCACATACGGCAATATTTTTCCACTTCGACTGTAGGTATTGTGCTTTTATCCGCACAGCGCCACGTCTCGCATTTTTGTGGCTCCTGCAACTGGTCACCCATGGTAATACTTTTTTCACTGCGAATATAGGCCTCGTGCTTTTCACAGCAATCTTTGTGATCTACAGCGTTCACAATGGCCAATTTGCAGGCTGAAGCAGCACGTTTGCGATAGGAGAGCTGCTAGATATATGTATATATAGCTAGCTATACCTCCTAAGGGAGAGCTAAAGTAGCGAATAGTTCATGCAACTGTGACCGTTCACGCTCATTCCGTAGATTCCTGTGCGTTGTTTCCATGCGCTTTTTTGTGTCTGTGCTTGCAGTGCACTGTAAACTTGAAGCTGCTTGCTGTTCTTCGTCTGATATTTCCCTGGAATGATTTTTCATTCAGTGTTTGCACTTGAAGTGAAAACTACTTTTTTCCGCGGAGAAGTTGGTTATCGTTGTTGCGTTTGGCTCTTTTTGAAGTGTTGCCGACGGCACAATCGATAGAACGTGACAACTTCATCCGTGTCCTATGCCGGATGGAGTATAATTTTGCTGGTTGTAGGTCGGGTGAATAGGCGTCAAAATTTGTTGTAATGCTATCGATTTGTTTTTCAATCGTATGGCACCTCATGTGCACGGTGGCATCAACTGTAGCAAAAACAATACAATGGATCTCTTCATGTAGCTGCTGTTGGTACAGAAACAATCTTACGTTAGAGTAATCATGACGTATCCTTCCTGAATGGTATAGAAACAATCTTACGTTACAGTAATCATGACGTATTCATCCTGAATGGCTGCTTGCTCGAACTGAGGGTTGCAGCGCTGTACTGTATACTGCCAGTAGCTTCATCATTCGGCTTTTGCTAAGGCATATTTGCTACTTGCGGTTATTTCTTAAAACAACCTATTGTGCTCAATAATCATAGTGTTTAGAAACTATTTACCATGAAAACACCGAATCTTTTTTTGTTGCAGTACGACATACGGGATTTACAGAAAACCTTTTATCACGACAAAAAGCAGTTCGCTGCTCTGATGCTTTATGAGGAAGATGGGACACTGAGAGTGGTATGAACGAGCTTTGTCCTTCTGTACTTAATTAAATGGTTTCAATTGAACGTTTTGAATGTGCTTGGCAATGAAAAAACAGGACGTTTAGGATTACAATTCACCCATGATCCTCGTGTGAGAGACATATATTCATCATTGTTTTAATTGTACGCAACTCATCATGTTAGCTTAGCAGGCAGAGGTAAACTTGAGGTCGTCGGTTGGCGTAACCATTAAGGTGGCCAAAACTTGGAGTACGTGAAATGCGATTATAATTCTCAACTTAAATACAAGTAGATGATATATTCGAAATTAGGCCTCGATTGCCAAGAGATGTGTGCCTCGTAAATAAATCATGGTTTGTATCGTACGTTAAACAAAAGAACAGTACATTATTCTGTGATCATTTGAAGAGCATAAAGAACTATTAAAGGAACTTTAGTACACTGCTTCTAAGTGCATTTGTAGCTTAAGCTTGCTTTATTCTGGAAATTTGTGATTGTACTGCTAACGAATCACCACAAAAATAAAACAAAATTAAATAACTAAGAACAAGACTGAGGTGCTTTCTGTGCAGTCTTGCCGATGAATAGAAAGGGCTAAGGATTTGGATGTAAAAATATTGCCTTGGTGCTTTGTGATTACTCGAAATAATGTACAAAAATCATCTCTCGTTGCTATTTCTATCAAAAAGATAATTATATTTGAGTACAATGATGTATTTTATTTTTTTGTGAAATTACCTAGATCGTGGCATTGTGGGCGAAAAACCATATGTAAAGCGTAATAATAACTGTGATTTAAAACTGCAGGCCTTATAGCTACTTTGTATTATTTAGTTAAGGTTAGTAATATAGTTTGTGCTATTGCCTCTACTATTTTAGAAGTGCGGTACAAATAGGTCGCCTCCAAATAGCATGGTCTTTTTTTATAATGATGGCAAAGCATAAGTTCAGTTCTTTGTACGCAAGGACTGAGTTATACATTAAAGCTCGTGCATTAAAGAAGAGATTGCAGTTAGCGTCCATATTGTGGTAGCGTCGTTAGTAACTAGCGTCGTGTGTTTAAATGGAAAGAATTCGTAGGTATGATCATGCGCAGCTAATGGTCATGCTCGATGACTCCGCTTGTGCCTAGGTTAAGGCAAAGAAACGTCATATGCTATAAAAACATGCGTCTTCATGTCCGCTTGTGCCTAGGTTAAGGCAAAGAAACGTCATATGCTATAAAAACATGCGTCTTCATGTGTGTCTTGGTATGTGATGAGGCTCATGAATGGTAACTGAAAAACTGTGCTGCACGGTGGAGGGATAGAGTGTTTGTACAAGACGGTCACTATGTCTTGCCGTAAATGTACTTGGGTACCACAGAGGTTTTTTTTCTTGCAGGAAGGCGTTGTTGGACCAAACCTAAAGATCAGGCCTATTGAAAGCACTGAACGCTCCGAGCATGGCCAACAAGCTCACCTTGTCGACACTATTGAAGACAACGACTCAGTAGAAGTGTACGGTGCGTTCATAATTAAGAT